CCCCCAGGGGCCTCCAGTCCTGCCCCCCCATGGGCCTCCAGTCCTGCCCCCCCAAGGGCCTCCAGTCCTGCCCTCTCCAGGGCCTCCAGTCCTGCCCTCTCCCTCCCCAGCCCCGCCATCTCCCCACAGATCTTCTGGCCGCCGTTGCGGAACCTGTTCATCCCGGTGTTCCTCAACTGCTGGCTGGCCAAGCACGCACTGGAGAATATGATCGTAAGCAAGAGCCAGACCCCTGCCCACCTGCAGAGGCGACTTGCCATACCCAGCCCCAGGGCCACCAGGCTGCCTGCCAGGAGGCCTGTGACCAACAGGAACGTCTGTCACTGTGACCTGCCCCAGTCAATGTCTGGGAAGAGAGCTTCTCCTGACCTGGGAAAGGGCTGGGGAGGAGATGGGGCCATGGGCAGTAGCAAGCAGGCCTACGGGAGACCAGTCACCAATCCTGGGTCACGGGCACTGGGACCACGAGAGCCAAGACTGTGAGAACCAAGACCGTGAGCTCTGGGCCCACGAGAAAACTGGGCTGCAGGCAGCCTGCTGAGATCTAGGGAGGTCAGCCTCTGTGCCCCCAGGCCTGCCCCCGCCCCAGGCCCCCAGACTCACAGCCCCAGGTCTGACTTAATGGTCAGTGAAGTTGAAATGCCCAGTCCATCGAGCCTCCTACAGGCCTCAGCCCTCCCGGGGCACAGGGGGGCAGGGTGCTCCTGAGAGAGGAAGCGAGGTCAGTGGCCTGCCCAAGTCCAGGCTGCCCTGTGGCCCTCGCCCAGGGGAGGTGTGCCAGGCCACTGGCTTTGCAGCCTGCCTCTTGTTTATCTGCTCTGGCGGGGGACCGAGCCCTGACCACTGACGACCACATCCTCCACAGAACGACTTCCACCGTGCCATCCTGAGGACGCAGTCGGCCATGTTCAACCAGGTCCTGATCCTCTTCTGCACCCTGCTGTGCCTCGTGTTCACGGGGTGAGCCTTGGGCATTGAGGGCCACCCAGCAGCCGGGGACAGTGTGCTCCTGGGCAGAGAGGCAGTGACAGCCTCTGGGGTCAAGGCTCTGGGGTCAAGGTCTGGGGCAGGGGGTGGCTTAGCTGGCTGGCACGGAGGTCCAGGAGTAGCCCTGAGCCCATGTCCCCATGAGCAAACCCCTAAGTCCAGCTCCCCCAAGGCCCAGGACTCTGGGATCTGGCTTCCTGGTCCGTGCCTTGGGCTCTGAAGCTGGGACTAGCCCTCAAGTGGGATGGGGCCTTTGGCCTGAGGCCACCCTGAGAGCAGAGGCCAGGCCAGGGCAGGGGCTTGGAGGGTTCTCCTGGAACGGAGCCTCCAGCCACTTGGGTAGATTTGCTGGCCTCCTGCACCCACCTGTGCTCTGGCCCTGTTATGGATCCTGGAGAGGCCCTGTTACCACTTCCTATCCCCCAGGCCCTGGGCAGAGTGTGCCCTGTGCTCTCTGCCCTCCCTCCCCTGCACCCCACCCACAACACACAGACCTCAGAGGATCTGGAACAGATGTCCAAGGCTACAGAATCTAGGGTGACTCAGGGTGAGTCTCCTCCCAGCAGCCCTGTGTCACCCAGCTGTCCACCCCAGGGGCCCTGAGCACCGGCTGTGCCAACATCATGGGACCAGGGAGTGACCTCAGGCCCTGCCCAATCGACCCCCCGTTGAGCATAGGAAGGAGGTGTCCAGCTCTGTGCAGGGAAGGGCCTAGGAAGCAACCCTTCATGTCGAGGGTCCTACCCAGCCCCAGTCCACACAGGAGGCCCCAGCTCCACATTCCTGCTCCCTGTGGGCTCCTGTTGGGCAGGAAGGGGGTCAGATTTGAACCAAGGTGGTKCCAGGGCTGGTTCAGGGGCCATCCAGGGCCTAGAGGGATCAAGAGTGCCCACCAGTGTCAGGCTGGGGGACGCTTCAGCAGGGCTGGGGACAGATGGGTGGTCTGGGAGCCCAAGAGTGCTGAGCTGTGCCCCAGACTGAGACTCGGACTCAGCATCAGGAGACGGGGTCCACCAGAGCCCAGGGTACCCAGGCTGGAGCCCAGCCTTTGGTGGCCCAGCAGCGCCCATCCCCTAGGACCTGTGGCATCCAGCACCTGGAGCGAGCTGGCGAGAACCTGAACCTGCTCACTTCCTTCTACTTCTGCATCGTCACCTTCTCCACGGTGGGCTACGGCGATGTGACGCCCAAGATCTGGCCATCCCAGTTCCTGGTGGTCATCATGATTGGTGTGGCCCTGGTCGTGCTCCCACTGCAGGTTGGTCCCCAGCCTCAGAGACGCGGGGCTGTGGCACGGGCACCAGGGTGGTCGACCCTTGGAGGGCCACAAGGCCAGGGTGGGTGACACCTGCGGAGGGCAGGCCTGGCCAGGGCCTCCTGTGGAGTGTGGTGGTGAGCCGCAGTGCAGCCGAGTGGGCTCTTCCTTCTGGGAAGACAGGGGATCTCTTGGTGCTAGGGTGACCCCCCTGGGACCAGTACAGAGGCAGAGGTGGACAGTCAGTGTGGACAGTCACCCGTTGGCTACCCACAGTCCTGCATGGCAGCAGTGGTCAGGACCGTGAGGGGCACCTGGAAGGGCCACTGCTGACCCTGAGCTTGACCCTCAGCCCTGGCCCGCTCTCTGCTTGCAGTTCGGAGCCCCCATCCCCAGCCAGAAGCCCTCTGCTTTTCCCAGTAGGCTATGAGGAAGGCCTACTATGTGCTGGGGACACCTAACACCAGGCCCCTTACAGCAGCCTGGGCATGTGACCCTTCCCCTCCAGGCATCTGAGACAGAGTCCCTACTGGCCAGGCAGTGCTGGGTCCTCCCCACCTCCATCTGAGACGATGCAGGGCCTAGGCTGCATTCTAAGCTCTAGCCATTTTATGGTCCACTGATGTCCACTGAGGTGGCCTCTCTTCATCTGCTCATTGACCTCTTGGGTTTCTGCTGACCCTGCAGACTCCCTGGCCTGCCCTCTGGAGGCACAGAGCCCTGCTGTCGATGACCTCTGCCCTCTTTTGGTTGGTAGCTCCCCCCTCGTACTGACCGTCTGGATTCTACTGTGGTCAAATGTCCTGATCTTTCTTTTATGGCTTCTGTTTTCCTTTCTTGTCTGAAAAGACCGCTTCCCTCCTCAGTCATGGATATTTCCTTCTGAGAGGTGGAGGTTGCGTCTTGCTGCTGCGGGAGCAGGGCCAGGCCTGTGCCAGCCCATCCCCAGGCTCATCCCCCCACACCCCACACCTGGACGGCCGCTCTCCTGGAGGGCGCCCCACCCTGCCCACAGCCCCTGGGCTCACTGCTCCTCCTTGTAAGATTCCTAGTTGGATGCCTGAGGCCTGCCACCCCGGCCTGGTCGGGGTCTCTGCCAGGACCCGTGGGACGGGCTTGGATGGCTCCTGCGGACCCACGCCGCCTCTGCCAGCTCTAACGTGTCCCTCGCTCTCACGGCCAGCGTAGGGAGTGTCTCCAGGGAGCTCACAGAGGTCACTGGTCACTGGTTCACATGGAAGAAAATATGGTCCCTGAATAGGGAGCGCTGGTGGCTTCCCGCCCAGCCCTGCTGCCTTGGAGCCCAGCCCCTGCCGGCCAGGCCCGGGACAATGTGCGGCTGGAGAAGGGGCGGCTGCCCCACTGGGCTGACCTTGGTGAAGCACTCCAAGCCGTCCCCAGGGCCACCCCTGGTGTCTGGTGTGGGCAGGTGTCCTCCCCTCCTTGTCCTCGAGTGCCAAGAGCGGGCTTAGCGATGCTTCTTCCCAGTCTGTAAATGTCCCTGCTGTGGAGTCACCCGGAGCCTTCTTTTCTGGGGGGCAGGGGTACCAGGGATGGAACCAGGGCTTGGTGTGACCAGGCAAGCCCTCCACCACTGGGCTGTACCCCCAGCCCACCTGAGCCTCACAGAGGCCAGAGCTGCCATGGACAGGCCAGACCCTGGGGTCTCCAGGTCTGCTCCAACAGATGGCCACACCACAGGCTTAAAATAACAAGCCTGCTCCACAGTTCTGGAGGCCACAGTCCAAACCAAGGGGTCAGCAGGCTGCTCCTGTGGCTGCAGGGAGGATGCACTCAGGCCCCAGACCGGGTAGCAGGATGCCCTGCTCCTCACAGGGCTAAGGGTGGCCAGGACCATGGTGCTGCTGACCTCACCATCCGCACAGCCTCCTGCCCCCTCCTGCTGCCCCTGGGAAGACTAGGGGTCCTGTTAGTGGACAGGGTGGTCCTGGTGCCTTTGGAACAGGACTTGCTGGTGGAGGCCCTGGGGAGGGGCGGTGGTGCTGCTGGTGGCCATCACCAGCCTCCCTCCAGAGCTTAGGGACAGCTGTCGTCTGCCAGAGCTGCTCTGCAGGCTCAGGTCCCGTGTTGTCGGGCATCAGTGTCAGGCTCATGGGCACCACAGCAAACCGCCGGACAGACAGCTGGACAACAGGAAGTCACTGTCCCGGAGGCGGATCTGCACGCAGGTGTGGGTGGGGCTGGTGCCCCTGCTGCCCGAGGCCCCCACAGGCCTGGTGCCCTTGTGGCCACATCCAGCAGCCTCTGCCCCTGTTCCAGGCCTCTTCTCTGGGTCTTCCTCTCCTAAGGACAGCAGTGTTGGACTCAGGGTCACCCAAATCCATGATGACCTCATTTCAACAAATTATATCACAAAGACTCTGTATTCAAATCGGGTCATGTCCTGAGGTTCAGGTGGACGCACGTGTGGGGTTCACTGTCAAACCTGGTCATCAGCCGGCTTCATCTTCACGGCCTCCCTGGGAGGCCAGTGCTGCTCTGATCCGTGGCAGACAAGGAAACGGCCTGCAGGAGGTGGGACGCAGGCCCACGGTGACCCCCTGCAGAGCCCAGCCCGTGCCACCTGCAGGGAGGCGTCTCTGTTGGGACCACGCTGGGTCTTGGGCACCTCCTGGTTGTGGAGCCAGTTCAGTGCCTCAAGGCCATTGGGTCTTGTCACTGGGACTGAGCCAGAGCCCTGTTCATTCAGTGACTTGATCTCGGGCCAGGTAGTCACGGTCCCTGAGCAGGCCAACTGTCAAGGGGGGCCGCCACCATCCTTCACTCAGAAAGTGTGAAGCCAGCAGGGTCAGCACACTGGACAGCTCCAAGTGGCCGGCCCTGGGGTGAACCTGGGGCGCCTTCAGGCTGCAGCTCTACTCACACCACCCTGCCCAAGGCTGTCCCAGCCTGGGGACTGACCCCACACCCGCTGTGTTCACCGCAGCTGTCAGGAGAGCACTTACTTCCCCACCCCGGGGGCCGAGAATTTGCCRGCACTGTCGGTTTTCCCTACCATAAGTCTCAGGGGCTGGCGGGAAGAGCCGCAGGTCTGCTGACGCCTTGACCGCCACAGCTCAGGCTTTGGCAGCCACTCGGCCTCTGGGGTCTGGAGCTGAGCTCGCATCTCAGGCTGCCCCAGGCACGGGCAAGCGGGGATGCTCACTCCCCCTCCTCGAGTGGCCGTGCCAAGACAGTGGCCATTTCCAATGTGGCTCTGTCCTGGGCCACATTGACCTCTGGTCCTCTGGTCCTACACTGACCTCTGCTCAGGCTGTCTGCTCCCTGCACACCCTGTCAGCCACCTGGTCCTGCTCTGTGCTGTGGCCCTGGGCTCAGGGCCTGCCCCTGCCAAATGGGAAAGGTCCACCCCCAGCCCCACCCCTGCCCGCCCTGCCCCTCACTGCCCAGGCTGAGCCAGTGCCCACCGCTCTCCCACACAGTTTGAAGAGCTTGTCTATCTCTGGATGGAGCGGCAGAAGTCTGGGGGCAACTACAGCCGCCACCGCGCACAGACGGAGAAGCATGTGGTGCTGTGTGTCAGCTCCCTCAAGATCGACCTCCTCATGGACTTCCTGAATGAGTTCTACGCCCACCCCCGGCTCCAGGTGAGGCCCCCAGGCCTCGGGATCCTCCTGCCCCCAGAGCAGCCACCCCTTTCCACAACTGCCTGAGCCCAAGCACGTCCCCTAAGGGGACTAGCCCTCAGTTTCCCTGTCTAGAGGGGTGGCATCCCACACTCTGGGAGTTCTGCGGGGTCCTGTGAAGTGCTGGGTGAGACAGCACCCAGGAAAACAGGTGGGCTGGCAGTGGCAGAAGCCTGCTCAGAGGCTCTGACCCACGGCCTGGCCAGCAGGACTACTACGTGGTCATCCTATGCCCCACTGAAATGGACGTCCAGGTGCGCAGGGTTCTGCAGATCCCCTTGTGGTCTCAGCGGGTCATCTACCTCCAGGGCTCTGCCCTCAAGGACCAAGACCTCATGCGGGCCAAGTGAGTGTCAGCCAGGGTGGGCACAGCGGGTGTGGGAGCCATGGGGTAGGTGGGTTGGCAGCTGGAGCAGCAGAAGGGGTATGGGGTGTTTGGCAGCTCTGGCTCAGTGCCCACCACCTGACCCAGGTGAGCAGGACCCTGCCCACGCTGGGCACAGCAAGTCCACCTCAGACCTCCTGGGCAGACCCAACGTTGGGAGCCCCCATTCTCCCCACTTGGAGTCTGGGGATTCTCTACGACGACGTCAAGTTCTAGGAGCTCAAAATAGACCAGGGGCGGAGGAGCTGGCTGCTGGAGTCAGTGGGGGGAGTCACGAGGGCTGAGGGTGGATCTTGCTTTAAAGATAAGTTGGCAGAGTGACTTGAGGTGACACAAATGTGGCATGCCATGGAACTTTCCAGAATGTGCTAGTGCACTTCCTGGGATTCTCTCCAAAGCCCCTCCTGCCACCTTCCCATTCCAGAAGCCTCCCATGTCCATCTGTGGGGCCTACAGGGCTAAGGGCAAGCAGGACACCTGGCCCAGGGTGGCTCATCCCTCAAGCCCTGGACCCTGAGGCAGGGCCCTGATGGTCACGGCCCCTTGTGGTCCCATCCATACCTCACACATGTCTGTGTCTGCCTCCAGGCCTGCAGCTGGGGGAGGCAGTGTTGGGCAAATAGGGAGGAGCCAGGGGGGCAGCAGAGGTTTTAGGAGGCACAGTGTTCTGCTGCTTTGGGGTGGGAGAGGACAGGGTGTCCACTGGATCTCAGGCCAGCTAGGTTATTTCTGCAGCTGAGCCCTTRGGAACCAGGGGTGGGATATGGTCATACAGGACCACAGTGTGGCCAAGAGAAGGAGATGGGTCCCTGCCCCCAAGTGTTTCTGTTCTGTGGCCCAGTCTGTCCCTGGTTGATGGGGCATGGGGATGGGCTGCAGATGCTGAATACCCTGGGTCAGGTCAGCTGGGCCAGGGCCCAGGTTGCTAGCACACAGTGAAGTGGGGTCTCAGTGTGGGGACCCCCTTCCAGCCCCTGACAGCTGGAGCTGAGGCCAGAGCTCTCCACTGCCCCATCAGGCCATGTCCCAGCTGGTCCACTGGTGTCTCCAGACATGCCATCTGGCTTCTGAGACATGTCCAGTGTCCAAGCTTGAACCCTCCTGAGGGTGTCCAGAAATCCTGACCAGGCCCAGGATGTGTTTGGGAGAGGCCAGGGAGGTGAGGAGGCCCAGGACTGGAGGCACTGCTGGGACCAGGCTGACGACCTCTGGCCACACTAGTGGTTGGCACTTTGCAGGATGGACAATGGGGAGGCCTGCTTCATCCTGAGCAGCAGGAACGAGGTGGACCGCACAGCCGCAGTGAGTGAGGCTGAGGCCAAGGCAGGTGGGGGCGGGGGGAGCCCCTCCAGCCTGCAGCTGCCCACCCCCTCACTGCAGGGACACTCCAACACTGAACACACACACCCCCCAGGACCACCAGACCATTCTGAGGGCCTGGGCCGTTAAGGACTTCGCCCCCAACTGCCCTCTCTACGTCCAGATCCTCAAGCCTGAGAACAAGTTTCACGTTAAGTTTGCTGGTGCGTCTGGGGCCTGCAGTGGGCAGCTCGGGGGGCGGGGGCTGGAGCACCACCACAGGAGCAAGGAGGTGCGGCAGGGCAGCAGCCCTCCTTCCTCACAACCCAGGAGGGGCGCCCATAGCGGTCCAGCTTTTTTAGATGATCCAGCTGGGGTGCAGGGTCAGGGAGGGCAGGAGCAGGGGTTGGGAGCAGCACCCTCTGATGAGTACACCATGGGCAGGACCCTGCCAGAATCCCTGGGGACAGGTGAGGGGCCTAGATGGGCACCCCAGGGGACAGGCGAGGGCCACACCCAGCCCTGGAGCTCTGGGCAGAACAGGAGAGACACAAAGCAGAGCCTCCATCAAAGCTCCGGTTCTGGGCTTGCAGAGGCTCTGGGGAAGGGCTGGAATCAGAGCTGAGCAGGGGTCTGCGGTGCAGTCAGGTCTAGGGGTCCAGCCAGGGCTCCTGCAGCAAGTTCAGGAACGGTGGACCCTGTCTGCTGTCCTGCAGACCACGTGGTGTGCGAGGAAGAGTGCAAGTACGCCATGCTGGCCCTGAACTGCATCTGCCCAGCCACCTCCACCCTCATCACCCTGCTGGTGCACACGTCCCGCGGCCAGTGAGTGCCCCGCAGGGCCTACCGCCAGGCTCCAGCTGGCCCAGGGAGACAAGGCAGGGCCCTGTGGGGTGGGGCTCCCTGTGAGCATTGCTCCTTGTGGGCGGAGCCCCCACCATGGGTGTGGCTTCTTGTGGGCGGGAATCTCCTGGGGCGGGGCTACTCTGGGGGCGGGCTTCCTGGAGAAGGGTGTAGGCCTCACATGTCTAGGGGAGGGGCCTGCCCTAGGCAATGCTGACCCAGCTGAGCGGGAGGGCAGCCCTAGCCGAAGGTGATGGTCTCTTGCCCTGCTGTGGCCGGCAGGGAAGGACAGGAGTCACCGGAGCAGTGGCAGCGCATGTACGGACGCTGCTCCGGCAACGAAGTCTACCATATCCGCATGGGCGACAGCAAGTTCTTCCGCGAGTACGAGGGCAAGAGCTTCACGTACGCGGCTTTCCACGCCCACAAGAAGTACGCGCCCCCCTTCCCACACCTGGGCCCAGGGCAGGTGGGCGGGACCCTGGGGCAGGGGGCCTTAGAGACCCAGAGCTGGGGCACCCTGGCCACAGCCGCCTGACAAGGACAGCCTGTCGAGGCCTCAAGATTGCTCATTAGGCTCTCACAAGGCTGACCCACGAAGGGAGGTTTCCCAAGGAAGGCTGGGCAGGAGCGCAGGAGGCAGCTGCAGTCAGGTGACCCCCAGGACGAGCAGGGGGAGGCGCCGGCAGGTGCGGGGCAGCCCGTGGAGCCGCAGCCCCTGTGCCCAGGTACGGCGTGTGCCTCATGGGGCTGAAGCGAGAGGACGACAAGAGCATCCTGCTGAACCCGGGGCCGCGGCACATCCTGGCCGCCTCCGACACCTGCTTCTACATCAACATCACCAAGGAGGAGAACTCGGCCTTCATCTTCAAGCAGGAGGAGAAGCAGAAGAAGGGGCAGGGGCTCTACGAGGGGCCCTCCCGCCTGCCGGTGCACAGCATCATCGCCTCCATGGGTAAGCCCCCAGGCCCGCTCTTCCTTGGCCTGCACTGACCTGGGGCAAGGTGAGTCTGTCTGGGTTTCAGTGTTTGAATTTGTCAAATGGAGGTGTCCCCACCTGTGAGGGCCTGTCAGCCATGAGCAGGGTGTCTGAGCGCCCACCCTGTGGGCCGCCTTGGTCAGGGGTCTCTGGGGTGCAGGCCAGCCGGCCATCCTGGTCCCTGGCAGTCCCATCAGCCCAGAAGGTTTCCTTCACACGTGGTCCTTGAATAGGCCAAGGCCCCAGTGTCCTCTGGGGCTGGGAGCCAGCTGGACAGTGTTGAAACTAGCAAGGCCTTTGGCCTTCAGGTACCCTGGGACTTCCATGAGCCTGGGGCCAGGTCCAGCTGTCTCCCTCGGGTGTGGGCCCAGGGCTTGAGGATACCAGAGGTGGGTGTAGGCCCTCCGCAGCCAGGCCCACCCAGGAGACTGGGGAGCAGGGATAGGCCAGGGAGCCACCCAGGCCACAGCCCCCTAGACTCCGCCAGGGCACTACATTCACCTACAGGATGGCCTGAGAATGACTCGGGCAACTCGCTGACACTGTTGAGTGCCTGCTGCATACCCTACTGGTATGTGCCTACTGGAGTGTTGGCATATGGTCCCAACTTTGTGCTTTGGGTCAGTGTGGCACACATTCTTCATGACATGTCATGGGCTGGCAGCCAGACCTGGAGGTTATACTTCCTGATGGTGGCAGTGTGCCCTTGAGGCCAGGCCTGCTGAGGGGCAGGGGAGACGGGTCTGCTGCTGCCCAGCCTCACCTTCCCTGGAGTGTGTGTGTCATTCCCTGGTGGCTCCCAGGAAGCCGTGGTGACTTGTGTAGCCCTGCACCCTGGGCCACATCCTCCACCCCCACCTGGCAGTCCCTGGCTATAGTGGGAAGGCAGAGTCCGCAGGTACAAAGTGGTCCTGCAGCTCCCCTCTGATCCTCAGCATGGCCATCCCCACCTGGGCTGGTCCTCAGAGCAGAATGGCCAGCTGCCGGGCTCCTGAGCTCCCAAGAGCCCCCACCCTCAGGCCATCAGTAACGAGACTACAGCAACTGACTGGGTGGTGCCACTGAGAGGTGGGGGGCTCTGGGGCTACCATACCCAGAGGCCCCGTCCTGCTTGTCCAAAGGGGGAAACCCAGGGTTAGAGGGTGCTGAGACTCCCAAGGCCACGCTGCTGTAGGACAGGGGCCAGGACATGAGCCGGGGTCTCTGAGGCTGGCTGTGTCCTCAGCCTTAACAGCAGGATGGGAAGGGGCCACCAGCCTAGCTCAGTCACTCTCTCCAGGGACAGTGGCCATGGACTTACAGAACACAGAGTGCCGTCCCTCGCAGAGTGGTGGGGGCGGCGGGGGCAACAAGCTGATGGTGCCCACGGAGAACGGCTCAGGCAGCCGTCGGCCCAGCATAGCCCCGGTCCTGGAGCTGGCAGACAGCTCAACCCTGCTGCCCTGTGACCTGCTGAGTGACCAGTCTGAGGATGAGGTGACGCCCTCAGATGACGAGGGGCTCTCCGTGGTCGAGTGAGTGCTGCTGCAGGGGTTGAGCTTTCAGTGGGTGGGTGTGCTGGGGGGCTGAAGGCCCTGGGGGGCGCTTGGCTCCCTGGGAGTTCTGGCTCGGCCAACGGCAGAGCAGGTGCCTGACCTCTCTCCCGTGCCTGAGGCCCTGGTCCCGGCAGCTCTTTGAGCAGAGGCATGCTGAGGGGTCTGCAGCTCTGTGCCCCTTCTCCTCAGTCAGGGTTGGAGGTCAGCACTGAGTGGGGTGGGTCCCCTCCTGGGGGTCTCACAGACCCCACAGGGGGCTCACAGGAGTGGGGCCAGTACTGGGGCAAGGCCACCCCTGCATTAGACCCGTCCTTGCCCGAGGCACCAGCCCCACAGCAGCTCTGCCACAGAAGTCTCTGCCCCCCGCCTGCCCACCATCTGGTGCGCACTCAGGCAGCGTCCACAGCACCAGGTGCACCTTGCAACTGGTCAGTCCTCACTGCCCTGGAAGGCAGGGCCTCCCGCTGGGGGTCAGGAGACAGGTGGTGCCCACCACCAGGGCCATGGCCTGTGGCTGCCAGTGAGCCACTTCGAGGCCCCGCAGGGCAGGGCATGGGCAGGCTGCCCCTGAGGCTGCCATCTAGAGGCCCCTGGAGGTGGATTGAGGGGAATGTGGTGGGCAGCCAGGGCACAGTGTGGTGTGGGCTGGGAGCTGTTGGACAGGGATGAGGGGTCGGTGGCCTGCAGGGGAGACCAGCCTGGCCCAGGGGAAGCCACTGAGGCAGGACTCAAGGCCGCAGTGTCTGCCCGCTGGCCAGGGTGCTGGGTGTCAGGGAGCTCGACAGGGTGGTCAGATCCCTTGGGTCTACCCTGGCTTCAGGGTCTTGCCCAGGCTCCTCTGTGAATGTGTGCATTGAGGAGAGAGGGGTCTCAGGGCAGCGCCCCCTCCTGCCCCACCCTGGAGGTCTGACCACTGGGGGGCCCTGGGGCTGCCTGAAGAAGTGACCCTTCCCACAGGCCTGCTGGCACCCTGGGAGAGGGCACAGCGGTGAGGGCCCCTGCACACACACCTTTGCCTTGAGCCACCCTAGGACAGGCCCTGGCCTTGCGGCTCATCTTTGAGGTCTCGTCCCCCATGTGGCTGCCTGGGCTGGCTGGGTCCTGCTGGTGGCCAGAGGCCAGTCTCCAGGACTGCGTCCCAGGTGCTGATGATCTAGAGCAGAGCCAGACCCCTTGGCCAGCAGAGGGTGACCGGGGATGGAGTGGACACCCTTGAGTCCCCTGGTAGTGGTGGCCCTGGGATGGCTGCCCCAGAGCCGTGCTGAGGGCCCGTCTCCACCCAGGTACGTGAAGGGCTACCCCCCTAACTCGCCCTACATCGGCAGCTCCCCCACCCTGTGCCACCTCCTGCCGGTGAAAGCACCCTTCTGCTGTCTTCGTCTTGACAAGGTAAGGCCACCCGCCAGCCGGGAGACACCAGCGCAGCCCCGCCTCCCGCCTCCCACTCCCCCTTCACATCCAGATGCAGCTGCCGACTTGGGGAGTGCCCTGAGGGTGAGAACAGAGTGCTCCCCGCTGCGCTGGCCTTCACCCCCACGGTCCTGGCTCTTGGCCTCCGGATTCCTAAGAGGCACTTTTCCTGGACTGCTTGAGGGTGGGTGGGCGCCTCCCCATCCAGCCCTGCTCCTGCAGCGCCAGGGCCGTCTCTCCTGGTGTAGCCTGTGGCCAGAGCTGGGCAGGACCTCGGCCTGGCGCGGTGTCTGTTCTGAGGTGCTCATGGTCCGGAAGCCCAGGTCACCTCTGAGCAGGGCTCCCTGGGGAGCCTGGCACTCAGGCCTTCAGCCTTCCCCRGGTGTCCCTGGCCACAGTGCTCTGGGGAGGCTGTCGAAGCCCCGTGAGGAGCGTGGGGAGGACCCTGGGTCCTGCGCTGCTCCTGGCCCCACTGCCGCTCTCCAGGCCCCAGACGCCTCGCGGCTTCTGTTGTTCTGCGGAGAAGATGGCGCCCTCCACCATGGGTTCCCCGCCCACGGGTCTGAGGCGTGTGCACTCCTTTTTTCCCAGGGCTGACACCCATGGGACACCAGGCAGTCCTCATGGGCCATCTGTCCTCACGCATGAGATGACTGGGAACTCCCCATGCCACCGTCCCCGGGCAGAGCTATGCTTTCCCGGGAGATGCCCCAGCCGGTCCTGCCCAGGGCCTGAGGGCTCTTAGGGGAAGGGTGTGGTGGGAACAGCACCGGGTGCCGGGGCCAGGCCACTGGCTTCTGGCCCTTGGCCAGGATGTGGGTGTGCCCGTCGGCAGCTGTGGCTGAACCCACGCTCACGGGGACTGGCTTCGCCCGAGCCCCAGCGCTGCCCTTGGAGGCACGCCAGCGGGCACAGCTGTGGCCTCTGGGGGCTCCTGCTGACCGCGGTGGGTGTGGGGAGGTGACAGGCTCTGGCCCTCCCCAGGGCTGCAAGCACAACAGCTACGAGGACGCCAAGGCCTACGGGTTCAAGAACAAGCTCATCATCGTCTCGGCCGAGACTGCCGGCAACGGGCTCTACAACTTCATCGTGCCTCTGCGGGCCTACTACCGCTCACGCAAAGAGCTCAACCCCATCGTGCTGCTACTGGACAACAAGTGAGCCCTGAGGGCCTCCCCGCCTGGCCTGCAGCTGGTGCCCCCTCCTCCCCCGCCCTCCTTCCTCGTCTCCTCCCTCACGGTCTGTGTCCATTTCCCTCCTGTCCCCACGACTGACTCCCGCTGTAGGGCCCGAGGCTCTCACATCCTGTGGCTCCTTTTACCAAGGGCCAGTCTCCGCCACAGGCCTGGTGGCAGGCCCAGGGCTGGTCTTGGCTGTCCGACCTCAGCAGGTCCTGCCTGGGCCTCGGTCTCCCCACCGGCCTCCATCTCCCCTAGACTCCCAGGTCCAATGGGCTGCAGTTCCGGGGTCCCCTGCTCCCGGGTGTGGGCAGGGTGGGCCATGGAGCAGATGGCACCTGCAGGCCCTGCTGTCCCCTCAGGCCTGATCACCACTTCCTGGAGGCCATCTGCTGCTTCCCCATGGTCTACTACATGGAGGGCTCTGTGGACAAGTAAGGCACTGGGCAGCCGAGGATGGGGTGTGGGCATCGCTGCAGCCCTGTCCCCTCTGAGCTCTCCCCAGGTGGCGCGGCCAGGTGGCCCAGATGGCTGGGGCAGGGGAGGGCATCCGAGGCCCCAGAGGGACCTGGGGGGAAGTAGGCTGGGTCCCTGGGCCATGTGGCTCCTGCCCGCACCAGCCTGGACAGCCTGCTGCAGTGCGGCATCATCTACGCGGACAACCTGGTGGTGGTGGACAAGGAGAGCACCATGAGCGCAGARGAGGACTACATGGCCGACGCCAAGACCATCGTCAACGTGCAGACCATGTTCCGGTGAGGCCCGCGGCTGGCCTCAGGCCCCGCCCCAGGCCCTGAGCACGGGCCTCCTGAGCCCCACAGCTGACCAAGGCAGACCACAGATGCCCGAAGCCCCACGGCTGACCATGGGCCTCCTGAGCCCCACAGCTGACCACAGACCCCTGAGCCCCATGGCTGACCACAGGCCCTGAGCCCCATGGCTGACCACAGGTCCTGAGCCCCATGGCTGACCACAGGCCCTGAGCCCCACACCCTGACCACAGACCCCTGAGCCCATGGCTGACCAGGGCCGGCCCTGAGCCCCATGGCTGACCACAGGCCCTGAGCCCCACAGCTGACCAGGGCCCACCCTCCCTCCTCCCCAGGCTTTTCCCCAGCCTCAGCATCACCACGGAGCTCACCCATCCTTCCAACATGCGGTTCATGCAGTTCCGTGCCAAGGACAGCTATTCTCTGGCTCTCTCCAAACTCGAAAAGGTGAGCAGCCCCCTCCCTGAGTGCCAGCCACTCAGCCCCGGAGTCTGGAGAGAGCAAGAGGAAGAGACGGGAGCTGGCAGCCTCCTGTGGGTGCTTAGGAGGCCAGGGACAGCCCAGCTGAAGGCTCCTGATCCTGGAGCCGGGAGATCCCACAGGGCACTAGCAGGCCCTGGCCACCCAGAATCCAGACTGCCTGTCCTGGGATGGTCAGCTGGCCAGTATAGCTCCAGCCACAGGGAGCTCTCCAGGTGGGTGGACCACCTGAGCCCCACACCTGACCATGGGCCCATCTCAGGACAGTGAATGGGGCCTGGGTCCCTCTGGTGGTCCAGTTAGGGAGGCCAGGACACCGCTGAGTGTGGCCTCAGGCTTGAGTCTCTCGGGAAGCAGCCCTGGCTCTCTGCCCTGGTCTGCGTTCAGAGCCTACGTGGCATAGAGGTCCTAGGCCCTGGTTAGGGCCTGGCAGGTGGGGACCTAAAGGGGAGGAAACCTGCCTCGGGTCCCGTGGTGGACAGAGCAGGTGGCAGAGCTGGACCCAGTGTCCTCCCCTCTGCACCTCGGGGCTCCATGCAGGATATCAGCTGTGGTCAGGTGTGGGACTGAGGGACACAGAGACCCACCCATCAGGGTGTGGGGACTCACCAGAGACACAGGAATCCACCAAGAATGTGAGACTCACAGGGTGGGGAAGACATGGTCACTGTTGGTGACCATGCTTAGGCTAGTGGCAGCACACCTGTCCTCACAAGGACTGACCATGTGTTAGGGTGGGCAGCTGGAGGCCAGGGAGTGGGCAAGGAGGCATCTGGAGGTCACGGCCACCATGTCCAAAGCCACGCAGGCTTGCTGCTCAGTCTGGGCCAGAGTCCCCTCTGGAGAGCGGCAGGGGCTGTGTGGCCAACTCAGGAAGACCTGTGAGCCGAAGCCCCCGGAGCAGGCCTGGCCGTCGGCACCAGGCAGAAGGGACAAGGGCTTGTTGCACGTGGACTCAGCTTTGTGGCCTGAACCTGGATGGACAATGCAAGCGGGCTGCACCCAGCTACAGACCCGGAGGCCCATGGAGACCTTGGGTTTTGTCCGCACCAGAGAAGTGAGAGGACGCCAGGTGGGCAGTGGATGGCCCCTAGGCCAACAGAGCAGCTCCCACAGCAGGAGGCTCACTCAGGCCCTGGCCTCTGCCTGCTCCAGTGCTTCCCCACACCCTGATGGGTGGGTCTCTGTGTCCCTCAGTCCCACCCCTGACAGCTCAGACGCTCTCCCCAGGAGGAGGCCACGGAGGGCGGCCACACTGGGAGGTCAGGGCTTGCCTCAGAAGCCACAGAGCCCCAGGATTCTGCATCCGGGTGCCCGACTGCTTTCCCAGGCCCAGGATTCTGAGCACCAGGAAGACCCAGTGCCAGCGGGCAGCACCGGGTATGAGTCTGGCAGGCCTGCCCAGTCCTCAGTGCTGCTTTTGCTCACCACCCTCCCCGGTCTCCGCCCAGCTCCTCCTAGGCCTTGGGCCTCCCCCGTGCCTCCAGGAGGCCAGAAGTAGGTCAGGTCTCGCTGATCATGCTGCCTTGCTTGCTGTGGCAGACGTCACCAGTGCTGTGCCTCCTCCTCCCCAAGCACTGCCTGGCCAGGCCAGCTCCTCATTCAGGAAAGTGAAGGGCCCATCCTGTGGTTCTGTGACGACAAGGGTGACAGGGACCAGCTGGGGGCCAGGACATCACTGTGTGGCCTTGGGTCCTCTGTGCTGGAATGAGGTTGAGGTCCATGAGGCATGGAGGTCCTGGGGGGCTCAGGCCAAGGAGGAGGAGTGGGGCAGGCCACTGAGGCCATCCATTGCCCACCCACTCCCCGGTGAGGGCCAGTCTACAGGGTCCATCAGGGCCCTGTCTTCTCTGCCAGGACAAGTTTGGCCTTGGGTCCCAGGCAGGACTCTGCCACCTCAGACCCGGGGCTCCTGGAGACTTCAGCTGGGCACGTGGGCAGCACGAGACCCTGGGTTAAAAGAAACCGATGGCGGCTATTTTAGTAGAAATGTTCCTGCTGCTCTGAGTTCCCATCGAGTGGTGCTGGCAAGTGTGGAGAAGAGGGGCCTCAGCAGCCCCCCGACCTTCCCCTGGCGTGCGCCTGGGAGGCAGTATCCTGAACTCGCCTTACCCCTCGCGAGAAAAGCAGAGGTTGAAGCTATTTCTGGCACTGAGATGAGGTGCCCCGGGGAGGTGTGGTGGTTGCAGGTGAACTTCCTGGGGTGTTGAGATGGGAAGGCACCCGCGCAGGTGGACGGCCTTGGGGTCTGGCTGAGGAGCAGAGGCTGGCGCCTGCACCCACAGCCCCACACAGCTCCCGGGTCCCCCCAGCCTTAGCCTGTGCAGCTTCCCTTCTGCAGTCCTTGCTGGACTGGCTCAGCTGACCTAGGGACACCCGACCCCACACTACTGGCCTGGGCTGGCCACTTCCCGGCTGGCTGTTCTCATGGCTCACGGGGTGTCCCTGCGTCCTCACCATCATGGGAAGACTTGAAGACGCACTGGCTCCCRCTGAAGCCCAGGTGTCCCTCTAGGGCGAAGCATGGCAGGGCTCAATGGAGAAGGCTCTGGAAGGGAACCAACACATCAGAGCTGCCTTCCTCTCTCTGTCTCTCTGGACCTGCCAGGGTTCTTCTTAACTTCCGTTTTGTTCTGTTCTGATTTAAGCAAAACTATCATTTTAATCATGGGGATCCTGCCGTCCACCTTCGTCATGTGCAGTCTGCTCCTAGACGTAAGGGCACACACAGATCATGAATCACGGGTCGCCCACCTGTGTTTCACGGCTCACACGCCCTCCTGCCGACACTCCCCTCTTCTGGGTCGCAGGAGTGAGAAGGGAAAGTAGCCACTGCTTTCTGCTCCCTTCTGTGGTTCCCTGGAGGGAAGGAGGCTGGCTCGGGTGGCTGCAATGGCTGCCAGGGTATCTGCACCTCTGGAAGCTTCCCACTGTCTTGCATTTGAAGCTTTTCTGGCAGCAGTGGACAGTGYGTCCTCAGCTGCTGATGTCCTGCCACCTGAGTCCCCACTGGGGTGCAGCCAGCTGAAGAACGGCTCTGAAGATGTCCACGCCCTTGTCCCCAGAGCCTGCAAGTGTCCACCTCTGTGGCAGAAGGAGCTCTGCTGATGGGATTAACTGAGGGCCTTGAGATGTGCGAGGGTCCTGGATGGTCCATGTTGGCCCACGTCACCATAGGATCCTTGCAGGAGGGAGGAGTTCAGAGAGGTGGAGGAGGCTGCACTGCAGATTTGGAGACGGACAGAGAGGCCACAAGCCAATGAAGGTGGTGCCCCAGGACACAGTAAAGGTGGGGAAGCACCTCTGTAGCCTCCAGAGGGAGCAAGGCCCTGCTGACGCTGGGTTCAGTCTGATCTGCAGCACCTGGAGAGGTGACGTGTGCTGTTTTAAGCCACTAAGCTCATGGTGGCTTGTCCTGGCAGTCCTGGGACACCCACAGTGGCTGCATCAAACTCCCCATGCTCCACGAGTGTCGTCTACACTGTGCGCCAGGGGACAAGCAGGAGTACACACTGCACCCTTGCTTCTGTGCCCCAGTGTCCTGTCATTCACAAAATACGGTCTACAATTGAAAATTACTGAGAAGCTCGGGCTGAGGCCGCAGCTCAGAGGTAGAGCTGGCCTGGTACAAAGAAAGCCGAGGATCCATCCCCAGACAAAAAGAGTCCAGGGTGGCTGGTACAGGAAGTCCACCTACCCTGGGCCTCTCTCCTTAGGACTCCAGTGGTCACTCCCAGGCCCTGGCTCTGAGTGTGAACTGGGGCCCAGGCTCACTGGCCAGTGATTACTGGTGCCTGAACACATATGCAGATGCACCATCTTGACCGCTGGCTGCCCCTGCGCGTGGGGCGTGGGCGCGGCCAGTCTGAGGACACTTCTCTCCTGCAGCGGGAGCGGGAGAATGGCTCCAACCTGGCCTTCATGTTCCGCCTGCCCTTCGCTGCGGGACGGGTCTTCAGCATTAGCATGTTGGACACGCTTCTGTATCAGGTCAGCCAGTGTAGAGGGAGGGGGGCTGGGTCGCCGCAGAGGCCCCGTCTCCCTGCCAGAACTCAGTGCCTTCCCAGGTCACCCCCCGCAGTCCCCCAGGGCAGTGGGCCTCACCTCAGCCTCTTCGAGGCCCCTTCCTCTGGGGGCTGCCCTGGGCTCCACTGTGGGTTCTGATCCTGTTCCAACTTAGCGTGTTTGGCCACGTGGGTTACCAAACCTGGGGGCGGCCTTCTCTGCGGGCCCCAGGAGGTGGCCCCTGCAGGTGCACGGAGGCCGGGCGCCACAGGCCTGTGCCGGGCGCCTGCCTCACCACAGCTCGGTTCACAGTCCTTCGTGAAAGACTACATGATCAGCATCACCAGGCTGCTGCTGGGCCTCGACACCACCCCAGGCTCCGGCTACCTCTGCGCTGTAAGTCCCGGGCCAGGCCGGGCTGCCGTGCCACCTGGGAGCAGGTGGTAGGCCCTGCCCCGTGGGCCCCGCAGCAAGGGGCTCTGGGCACCACCCGTGTCCCGCCCCAGCTTGGGACTCCCGGCATGTTGCAGATGAAGATCACAGAGGACGACCTGTGGATCCGCACCTACGGCCGCCTCTTCCAGAAGCTCTGCTCCTCCAGCGCAGAGATCCCCATCGGCATCTACAGGACCGAGTGTCATGTCTTCACCTCCGAGGTGCACGCAGCCACCCCCCTGCCCGCCTCCCCCGACCCTGAGACTCCCAGTCCCATCTCTGGTTCTGGGGGCCTGGGGTGTGGTGGCCTCTGCCTATGTAGTCGCTCTTTCGAGGCAGCATGGCTGCCTGAGTGGGAGCAGGAGCTCGGGGGAGCCTCCGAGAGCCGCAGGACAGGCAGGCAGCCCTGTGGGCCGCCCTGACTGAGCACTTTCTGTGCAGACAGGGAGGGGCTGAGTCACACTATGGGGGGGGGCAGGTGCACCCGAGGCTCCAGCCGGCCCTTGGTTTCCTTTGCAGCCCCATGACCTCAGAGCCCAGGTGAGTGCCTCTTGGTTGTGCTGCTGACCCTCAAAACCCTCTGCTTCATGGAGAGGGTCCTATTGGACCCACTGGTTTGGGGCTTTGGGAAATGCATGGTGGGGAGTGGGGCTGGAGCCTGTGCTCAGGGGCTCTTGGCAGTCACCCTTCCTCCTGGGGAGCAGGCTGGAGGGAGTGGCCCATGGGTCGGGACATTGGATGCACCCCTTGCTCCAGCCCAATGGTCCAGTGCCAGCTCCCAGAGCGGCAATCACCATCAGCACGTGCTGCACCCCCACCACAGTGGGTCTCCCCAAGGTCTGGCCTGACCCCCGTATCCCCAGGCCCCCTGGCCTTTCAGTTGCTGCCTGGTAGGGCTCCCATAGCACCCCACTCACACACTGATCCAGCCACACTCCCTGCTGCCCTCGCTGACTGCTCAAGGATGTGGCAGAGAGGGACCCTGGGGAAACTGAGGCACAGAGGAGCCACCATCCCTTGGTGAACAGCCAGGACATGCTGGGCTTAGAGGGAGCAGGCAGACCCACAGAAACGCGGGCCAGAGAGGCTAAGGCGGTCGGCTCGGCCACCGCAGGCTGGGGGCAGGGCCAGAGCCCCATCCCTGGAGCAGACCTGGGGCACCCCGCCTGGGCCCATCCTCCCTTCCCTGCGGCTCCACTCTGGCCCCTGCCCCAGCCCACACCTGCTGTCCACCCCCAGTCCCAGGTCTCAGTGAACGTGGAGGACCGTGAAGACACACGGGAGGTCAAGGGGCCCTGGGGCACACGGGCCGGTCCTGGTAGTGGCCACGGCTGCCACACGAGCAGTGGCGATCCTGCCGAGCACCCGCTTCTGCGGCGCAAGAGCCTACAGTGGGCCCGGAAGCTGAGCCGCAGGGGCACCAAGCACACAGGGAAGGTACCCGCGGCCACCGAGTGGGTCAACCAGCAGCGGCTCAGCCTCTACCGGCGCTCTGAGCGCCAGGAGCTCTCCGAGCTGGTCAAGAACCGCATGAAGCACCTGGGGCTGCCCACCACTGGCTATGGTAAGGGCGCCGGGCAGAGTTGGGTGGTGGCACCCTCCTGTCCATCCATCCGTCCAGCTACCTTCCTGGCCATTCTGCGTGTCCCTCACTGCAGGGCTAGCTCCAGCTCCATTGTGGCCATGAGAGCCCTGCTCAGTGGAGAGCAGGGAATGCAGTGGCCAGGGCTCTCCTGGTGTGGGGAGGGTAGAGGATCCCCCAAGAACTGAGTGGCTGGGGGCCTCTGTTTGTCCATTAATAGGAGACTGGACTCGGCTGCCTGTAGCCTGGAGGAGGAGGCTGTGAGGTGGGGAGGGTGGGGCAGGTGATCTCCCCAGAGTCTCCTTTAGGGACAGACAGCACACTAAGTCCAGTCTTACTGGGCAGCAGGAACACAGGGACCATTCTCATGGGGAAAAGAAACAAGGCAGAGAGACCACAGGGCAACTCGCGCTGCCCAGCCCCAAGCCCGTCTCCGTGCAGGAGGCGTGGGCATGTGGTCTTCAGGGAGACACTGAACAGCCCATCCAGGGTACCTTCCACCTGCCCCACTGTCCTTCCCAGGGTGTGGCCAGCCATTTCTGCTGCTTCAGGTCACCCCTAGGCATCCATCTCTGAGCAGGTTCCCACAGCTAACCCCCCTTACTCTATGCCATGTTTGGGGGTGACACTGGTGACTTTGACCATGAGCACCCTCTCTTCCTGGGAGCTGAGACCCAGCTCCAGCTGCACTGCTGCCCCCTCTCCTGCTGCTGCAGCCTCCGTCAGGCTCCATCGGGGACCCATCTGTTGCCCAGGCCCATCTACTTCCTCTGCCCCACTGCCCCCCCCCAGTGGAAGGGCTGCCCAGGGCCACTGGGGCTGGGTCAGGTGCTGGCTGTGCACCCCTGGGCACACTGAGCTGCCTCAACTGCCAGCTACTCCATGGGGGTGAGTCCGAGGAGACCGAGGCCAGCCTTTGGACACTGGAGGGCGTCCCTGGATGCACTGTCCCTGCTGTGACTGCCTCTGGGGGTCTGACCACCAGGAGCATGGAGGGGTCAATGCTCATGGCCCATCCAAGCACTGGCAGGTGGAAATTCCAGGCTGCCCTGGCCTGGCCAACCCCAGAGCTGGTGCCTGCCCTGTGTCCCCCTTGGTCTCTACATACTCCTGCCCACCCACCAGAGCTTGGCACAGAAGGGCTGGCTTCCTTTTGGCAATCAACTCGCTTTCAAGGTGGCCAGTGCTGACCACCACATCCCCCTGTGGATGGCCCCTGTGTGCAGCTGCCTGCAGTGCTGCCCGCCACACCACTGCTTGCTGACCTCTCTCTCTCTCTCTCTCCCCCTCCCCTCCGTTTCTGTCTGTGCCTTTCCCCTGTGTTCTATAGAGGACGTAGCAAATCTAACAGCCAGTGATGTCATGAATCGGGTAAACCTGGGATATTTGCAAGGTAATTCTGCTCTAGTGAACACTGACCACCACACAGGGGACATGCCAACCCTTTGTTGCCCTGGCCAGGCCAGGCAGAGGTCAGGAAAGATGAGAGAGGGCCCCAGGCTCCTCCATATCGGGCAGGGCCTCACAAGCTTGCAGTTGGACCTTTCATCCTCGTGGGTCGGGTGAAGCTGTGGGTCTGTGCCACTCAAGGCCAGGAGGACTGGGCCTGCCTGGCTCTCAGGGACCACCCCAGGACTTCCACCCTGGCCTGCCCTGTAGGATGAGCTCTGCCAATTGCCTTTGCCCTGACTGGGCAGGAAGGTCATCCCAGCCATGGTGGCTTCTTTGGCTGGTTCCATGAGATGTCAGAGGCCCCTGAGCCAAGGTCCTGAGCCCCCTGGACAGAGGCTAGGTGAAGCCTGGGCTGAAAAATGCCCCAGTACACAGGGGGCTTTGGAGCTGCTCTGCTCTGAGCTGCAGGAGAGTGAGCGTGTGTACCGCCCGAGCCAGGGGGACAGCTGGCTTCCATCCCCTACTGGGACCCCAAGAGAGAAATTCCCCCCCTAGTTGGGACAAAGTTGATCACCTCAGTTCTTGTCTGGGTCCTCCAGTGCGGAGGGCCACCCCACTCCCCACAGCCCTGCACCGGCCCTGAGGGCTCAGTGCTCAGGGCAGAGTCCCCGCCGTAACCTTGCTGGACCCCTCCATCTGGCAGCCTCCGGGCCTGCCCTGGTGCCCCCCTCCACACAGGGCCTGTCTGCAAGGCGGCTGGCGGTGCTTTCCCTTACCCACAGCCTCGCACCAGCATCCATGCAAGAGTGGCCTCTGCCAGGCCCCGTGAGCCCAGACCCAGGCCACACCACTAACTGCCTGTGGCTGTGGCTCCTGGGCCAGGTGGCGGGCATGGGCTCAGGCAGCCCCAGACCTGCCCACGGTCACAGGCCCACTGTGGTGTTGGTGTGTCACCACCTGCGTGCTGGTCAGGGTGATGATGCTGGGGCGCTGGAGGGGAAAACCAGGGGAGTCTCCTGTTGAGGGCAAGGTGGCCCTGTTAGCCTGGCCAGCAGGGTGGGCATCCACCCCAGGCCACTCAGCGAACAGATGAGGGAGCAAGCCTCACCTTACCCACTCTCCACAGCCTCCCTTGGAAGGAGGCAGAAAAGCAACCCCCAATTCAGAGGCTAGGGTGGGGATAAGCTCAGGCTGGCATGGGGAGTGAGGGCAGGAGTGTGTGGACGCCCATGCTGGGGGAGACAGGAGGAAGGAGGTAGAGCCACCTTGGTGACCTGACATGGAAGGCGGCCTGGGGTGCCTGGCTGTTCCTGAGGAAGCTGGAAGCAAAGGCCCCTACCTCACCCAGCCACACCTGTGCCTGTTCCCTGCCTCCCACAAAACTAATAAGAACTCAGGCCAGCCGGGCCCCTCTGTCCAGCCGGACCCCTCTGTCCAGCCGGACCCCTCTGTCCAGCCTGGAGCCTGGCATAACCCACCTCCGCCAAGAAGTACTGAGCCAGGCCTGACTTGGCCTTCCGTGAGCTTTGCTAGTTTCAGAAACACTCTCTAAAGTGGGCCCAGGGGCCCAAGCTCACAGAGGGAGGGCCCAGGGGCTCACCCTTGAAGGTGCAGCTGCTGGGCACAGAGGCCTACAGGATGAATGCACTGGTGGCCCCTTGATTCCAGTGTCACAATTGGGCATACGTCACAACATGGTGCCCTGCCAGTGACTGTGGTCTAAGTACAGGGTCCGTAAGAGCCACCTCTGCCACCCATTGCCCACACAGCTTGTCCCTGTGCTTGTCTTACCTCAGAGCTATGGCTGTGCACATGGTCACAGGAGACCACGCCTCCCCTCAGCCTTGAGCACAAGCCACAGCAGTCAGGGCAGCACCTCCAACCAGGGCCAAGGGGACCCAACCATGGGTTTTGGGAAAAGGGCAGAAATAGCTGTGCTCCTGGGACAGATGGCCCCACGTTGTGCTGGTGCAGGGTGACCAGGCCATCCTTCCTGCCGACACGGCTCTGGGTGTGGCTTATATGGCTGGCCTCCTGGCTGAGGCTGCCCACCAGCTGACTCCAGCCTGCACCCTCCTGCTCACCCGCTCGTGCCCAGCTGGGGAGGCTCTGACCCCAGTGCCTGCTGTGGCTCTGAGGCCGCAGGCTCCAAGCAGACATGCCCCCCGCCCAAACACCCCTGCTGCTCACAGCAGCTCCCCCAGCTTTGCAGAACCCTGTCCCTTTTTAGGGGAGGGGATGGTGCAGAGGAAGGAAATGAAAGCGCCTTGGATAGAGGTGCCCTGTCCCAGGTCACTGTCCTCTGTCCTTGGAGGCCACAGGGTGCCTTCCAACATCATCAGATGGGTAAACTGAAGCCAGTGAATTCAGGGCCACTGCCTTTAATGGCCATCTGTCGCTGTATTTGGCGAGGGCACCTGCTGACCTGGTGCAAGACACCTGTGAGATGACCGGGTGCTCCTGGAATCACAGCTTCCCTGTGAGCTGCAAATCATGCTGGTTTTGGTGTGGGCATGGCACAGCCCCAGTGGGAGAGGTCCTGCCGGGTCCCCAGGGACAGTGGCATCTGTAGGGCACTTCAAGGAGGGTGGGAGAGTTGGGTGAAGTGTGTACAGGTGTGGGTGGGTATGAAGGTGTGTCAGGCACGTGCTGTATACGTCTGTGTGCAGGGGTGGGCATGGTCCCATGGGGTACACCAAGGGGTGTGCAGGTGTGTATGTGCAGGCGTGTCCAGGCACGTGCAGCTACAGTAGGTGCGTACAGGTGCACACGTGGGAATGATCAGGCACAGATGCCAGGTGTGTGGTCTGTGCAGGTGGCAGATGCGCTTGGAGCCTCTGCTCAGGGCCCTGCATTGCTGTGATGCCACCCGATGCTGGCTGCTCAGCTAGCTGACCCCTGCTTAGTGCAGGGAGGGGCTGGAGACCAATGCCCAGCAGTGCCAGGGGGACTGGCCCCGGCTGAGAAGATGCTCAGCTCCCTGGCTCCTTCAAGCCCTGCAGAGCCAGGGTGGGGAGAGGGCAGTGACGCCACCTGGCTGTCCTTTGCAGATGAGATGAATGATCAGCAGAACACCCTCTCCTACGTCCTCATCAACCCCCCGCCTGACACGAGGCTGGAGCCCAACGACATTGTGTGAGTGCGACCTGCTCCTCCCCAGGCAGCCAGGGACCTCTTGGGTATGTGGGGCGGGTAGGACCTGAGCACTCCAATGGGCTGTCCTGCACCTCAGGGTCCTCCCTCTATGCTTCACAGGTATCTCATTCGCTCTGACCCTCTGGCCCACGTGGCCAGCAGCTCCCAGAGCCGGAAGAGCAGCTGTAGCAACAAGCTGTCCTCCTGCAACCCAGAGACTCGAGACGAGACCCAGCTCTGAGCCACCTTGAGGAACCCACACCAGGGCATCCTTTGGACCTTGTGCTCTGCCTGGGGTCCAAAGGAAGGACTCAGGAGGGAGCAGCACAGATACCGTTACTGGCCTGGCCCAGGGAGGCTATACTTCATTCAGGGTGGCTTCCAGGACTTGACCCCAGAAAGAACTCCTCACCCCAGGGCCAGGCGCGGAACCATATCAGGCACCCTAGAGGCTAGCGGGAAACGTTTTTAATCTATTTTTACAAAACTGTACTGTCCATGACTTATACAGATGTACCGCAACTCGTGACCGGGGCCTGGTCAAGGAGAAGGGCAGGTGGCCAGTAGGGGACAGAGGGACTGGACACCACCTGGGTCCCACTGCTCTACATGGCCATGTTCAGGCATTGCTGGAGGGACTGGGGTGCATCGGGTGGGGAGGAGTTCGTGTCTGGACCCTGGAGCGGGGGAGTCCCACACAGCCCTGCCGGTGCTGAACATTCGGCGTGCCCTCCTGACTTCGGCAAGGCTCTGAGGCACAGCCCTCATAAAGGGCAACCCGGGGGTGCTCTCTGCCATTTGCTATTCTGAGCTATCCCCAGGAGGGCAAACAAAGAGGAGAGTCTTGGAGGCTGAGCCAGGGGTGTGCAGCCCCCAGGCTGTGGGGGCCCTTGCTGGCAGATCTGGCAGGTGGGGGTACCTACTGCCAGTAACTGAAAGTCAGAAGACACCAGTTCCTATTTTTACACTGAGTTTTTCCAGCCATGGCATTTGGGGACACTGTGACAGTGTGTCTCTATGGACCATTTTACATTTCAAAGCAAAGTCTTGTTTCTAAACACCCAACCTGAGAAGCACAATTAGCCCTGGGCTGCTGGCTGCTGTCCCCAGGGTCTCCAGGGAATCCTCGGGCAGAGATCTGGGCAGCCCCCGTCCCTGCTGCTAGACCTCACTGCTTACATGGATACACTCTGTAGGCAGCATGTCACCAGGTAGCCTGCCCCAGGCTCCAGGCTCTGAGTCTGGGTCTGGAGGACACCTGGGGCTAGTTACAAGGGTCAGAAATGTCTGCTGTGGTCCCCACCCCCGACTTCACAGGCAAGCCTGTCCCCCAGCCTGGCCAGCATGCCCTTACATAATGCTAGGTTGGGACAGATGGGAAGTTTGGCTGGTAGAAGCCCCAGTGTCCTGGAGGCTTCCTGGTGAGCTGTCCATCAGCCTCACCCCTATATCCCAGAATGCCTCTGGAGTGACTCTGAGCACCCCAGGCTTGTGGGGTGGACACAGCTAATCTGAGACCAATAGCTGCTGGGGGACCCCGTCCACTGGGGGCCAGAGCTGAGCCCATGTACTGCAGAGGTTGAGATAAAGGGGAAGGGCCTAGGCACAGCTCCCCCCCCAGCATCAGGACAGATGGCTCCCCAGAGGTGGGCAGGCAGCTCAGGGACTACAGAAAACTGCGTGGGAGGCCTGGCTGGCAGAGTGCCACACACCTGGGGCTCAGCCTCCCCACCCTGCGCACTGGACCACCAGGGGCTGCCTGCTCAGAAAGTGCCTGGTGAGGTGCTGACAAGGACAGAGGATGCAGGTGGGCAGGGAGGGACTGTGCAGACTCAGGAGCAGGAAAGTCTTGGGGCTTGATGGAGGGCAGGTGGTTGACGTTGGCTAGGTGGCCAGAGCTCAGCCCTGCTGTACTAGATCTGTCAGCAGCTCCTGGGGTGCCGCAGTGGACAGCAAGGGGTCTGAGCCCACCTCCATGTATACTCAGTGTCCCCAGCCCCTATCCTGCTGCCATGGCCCAGCTTCCTGCTGTCACCTATTCGGCTGCTGGGCCAAGGGGTGGGAGAGCCACCTTGGCTTCTACTAGGTGGGGCTACAGCTCCTTGTGCTGCAAAGAGTGGGTACCTGGGACTTATCCTGTGACAAGCATCTCACAGCAGGAGGGAGGGCTGTCACTCTGGGTCTAGCCCCAGACATTCAAGGAGATGGGCAATCCATGAGCCTCTACTAGCCACTGAGGACACTGGGCCCTTGASCAGGGCTGCTCCACCCTGCCCAGGTTCAGAGGCTGCTGTGGACCCGGCCAGCACTGGGGTCAGGAGGGTCTGTGTACTGTGAGATGCTCCTAGACCAATAAAAGCTGCCTGCACACCCAGAACTTCCTGCACTTTGTCTCGACCTCCATCTGTCTCCAGGCCTGGGGACACGTGGGTACATCTCTGATTGTCCTGGGTCCATTTGCCAACACTCCTGGCTTGTGTAGTCCTGGCACCAAGGAGGTCAGTCCTACTCCTCCGTCCTCACTGACCACTGGTACTTCAGGGTCCTAACCCTGATGAACCCCTCCAAAGACACCCATTCTGCTAAGTGGGGGATCCAGACTGACATCAGCAGCTGCCGCTGCCCAGAATGAGCTAGAATTTAAAGGCTTTGCAGCATAAAATTTGAAACAAAATTATGGAGAGGACCTTTATTTTCCTTATTTCTGGTTGACCTAGCAGGAAACTTGGCTCACAGCTGAGTGCTGCCACCTGGGGGTGGGTGATGGGAACGGCAGGGCCGAGGGGGGCAGGAGCGCTGCAGACCCAGGTGGGCCTGTGAGGAAAGGATGCATACAGTGGGAGGCTCGGTAGAGCCGGAGAGCAAAGGAGGGCAAGGCAGGGACCACAAACAAGGACAAGCAACAGAAAATGGGTGGATGGCCACTGGTCCGGTGACACCAATCAGCCAGTGAACGTGCACAGTGTCCCAGTGATAGACCACAGTGGACAGAAAGCAAACCCCAAAGCTAACGGGCTGGGGTACCCTTGCCCAGCCCCACTCAGTTTGTCCCAGCCTCTCACGCCAGGCAGGCACGACAAATAGCAGCGGGCATAGGCCTCAGGAGCCTCCAGGCCACCTCTGCCTGACTCTGTGCCCTCACCTTAGCCCTGCCCTGGTCCTTCCCATGACCTCAGGGGCTTTCTCCTGTCTGAAAGCACCAAGTTCGGTCAGGGATTTTAGACGTGCCCTTGGAGCAGCGGATGGTCATGTCTTCCAGGAAGAGTTTTAGCATCTTCTGAAAAACCTGACCAACTGATGCCTCCTGATGAACTGGCCAGGCCACAGAGGAGGGGCTGGCCCGGGGCAACAGCTGGACGGAGGCTGCAGCCTGAGGCCCAGGGGGAGCCACTCACCTTGCTCTAGGGGGTCTGGAGCCCTGAGGGAAGGGACTGGGGCACCAACCAGCTCCTATGGGTCCCAGGCCTCAGAGGCAGCCTGAACTTGAAACCTCAGATGGGTCGGTACTGGGCACACCCACCCTCATGTCCTGCAACATCTATAGGAACCTTGGGGCTCTCGGGTCTTAGGGGCCCTGGCACACCCCAGGGCAGGGACTTCAACCTTCAGTCACCAGCTCTGCCTGCAGCAAAGCTCCCCAACACGCTGCCACTACTCAGGAGCTGGGGCTTCCACGGCTGAGTCTGGAGCCACCCTGCCAAGCCCAGGCAGGCAACCACCCTCCTGCTGCCTCTCGGGTGGCAAGGTGCTTCCCGGGGTTTGAGCTGCACCCCCACCCTCCACACTTCAACATCTCTGACAGCAGAACTCCAGAACCCACAGGGTGGCAGTGACTGGCAGCAGCTCCTCAGACTCAAGGCTGGGAGACGTGGGCTGGGGGCTGTGACGCCCCCAGGCAAGCTTTGTGCTGTGAAGTGCCAGCTGAGTACTCAGGGACAGGCCAGGTGCAGCCTGAGGGAGGGAAGGGCGCAGGCTTTGGCTTCCAGATTCATCTTCCTAAGTGAACACACAGATTCACCCTGAGCCCTCGCTCGTGTTTCCCAGGTGCTCGCACCAGATAGGCCCCTGGAGGTGCGCCTCGTCGAGGTGCGCCTCGTCCTGGTGTGCCTCTCTAGGGCAGGACAGCAGATTACCAGTGTGCATCGCCTGGTCAGCAGCCAGGTCCACATCCCCAGACCTGCTGACGGGCGGCATCCACGATGGTCTCCCAGGGAGCCCGAGCACACACCTGCAGGGGCCCAGACAGCATGGTTACCACAGCTAAGGTGCTCAGGTCACATATCGTCTTGTCACCAGGCAAATACCTTCCTTAACCCTGAGAAACAGTCCTTTCTCCTCACCGTGGACCTGCCCCAGACTTGACGCCCAGCCAGCCAGCCAGCCAGCCAGCCACAGGGACAGTGGGACCAGGCTGTTGCTGTGAACCCAGGAGATCCAGTTCCCCAGAAGAGCCCAAGTGTGGCCCTGACAGACTTCCACCTGCAGCACTCTGTCTGGTCCACCTCTGACCCCAATGGAAGCGAGCCCATGTAGGACTGGAAGACAGAACTTGTCTCTGGGAGAGGCCCAGTCCCTGTCCCAGAGGTCACGAACCACCCACTACTTCTGGACAGATCTGCCCCTCCTCCCCCTACTCTATGTTTYGGTTTGGTTTTTGCTACTGAGGATTGAACCCAGAGGTGCTCTACCACCAAGTGACATCCCCAGCCCATTTTTTAAATTTTGAGACAAGGTCTGGCTAAGTTACCAGGCTGGCTTCACATTTGCAATCCTCCTGCCTTAGGCTCTAGAGCAGCTGGGATTATAGGCTATGATGCTGTGCCCAACCTGTGGCTTCTGAGAGAAGCAGCCAGCTCCAGCTCAGGCCACCTTCACTAGGGAAAAGGCGGTCCCACGGGGAAGGGTGGGGTGAGTTCCATGCTCATGGGCAGTGTGGCTTACTACTGCCTGTTCTGCTCCAGAGGCAATCCAGACTTTCACGGCAGAAACCCTCCACCTCCCCCTTTGCAGATTATGGCCTGCGCCTGCCACCAGGGAGTTCAGACCCTCCACTGTGTGACATCTCTCTGCTATTAGCCCAGCACACACGACTTTGGCAAAATACCCCCTCTCAACTGAGGAGACACTCTGGAATTCAACCTGCTCTTTCTAAAGGACAGAAGAGCCTGAGATGTTCACAAAGGTCCCTGTTTACAGAGACTGTCCCTCTTCCAGGTGGCAGAGCAATTAGGACACTGTTTC